TGCCCCACTTTGCAACCTTTCTTGTGGCGGTGAAGGAAATTTACAGCCTGAGAAACTAGGGAGGGTCCCTTCTGAGCCTCTTTCTCCATCCATTGTGCAGCTGAGGGCTCAGCTGCCTCTTATCTGCCAGTTGCCTAAAGCTACATTAATAGAATCTAGCACATCTGAAAGTAGAAATCTCCCCCTGTCTCCTTTACAGCCTGAGAAACTAGGGAGGGTCCCTTCTGAGCCTCTTTCTCTATCCATTGTGCAGCCGAGGGCTCAGCTGCCTCTTATCTGCCAGTTGCCTAAAGCTACATTAATAGAATCTAGCACATCTGAAAGTAGAAATCTCCCCCTGTCTCCTTTACAGCCTGAGAAACTAGGGAGGGTCCCTTCTGAGCCTCTTTCTCCATCCATTGTGCAGCCGAGGGCTCAGTTGCCTCTTATCTCTCTGTTGCCTAAAGCTACATTAATAGAATCTAGCACATCTGAAAGTAGAAATCTCCCCCTGTCTCCTTTACAGCCTGAGAAACTAGGGAGGGTCCCTTCTGAGCCTCTTTCTCCATCCATTGTGCAGCCGAGGGCTCAGCTACCTCTTATCTACCTGTTGCCTAAAGCTACATTAATAGAATTAGTGCATCTGAAAGTAGAAATCTCCCCTGTCTCCTTTACAGTGTGAGAAACTAGGGAGGGTCCCTTCTGAGCCTCTTTCTCCATCCATTGTGCAGCTGAGGGCTCAGCTGCCTCTTATCTCTCTGTTGCCTTAAGCTACATTAATAGAATCCAGCACATCTGAAACTACAAATCTCCCACTGTCTCCTTTACAGCCTGAGAAACTAGGGAGGGTCCCTTCTGAAACTCTTTCTCCTCTCATTATACAGTTGGGGGCTAAGCTGTCCCTTATCTGATGTTCCTTGGCAGCCTCTCTTTTGCCCTGTTTTTCCCCACATACCATTCTGGGAACAAACCTTGGATGTTAGACCTAAGTTGGCCTCTTCCAGCACTAACCCGACGTATCCTTTGGGAAGGCAGCTTTCCTTCCCCTTCAAGCTTCGGCCACGGAAGGAGACAGAGGCCTCTCCTGGATGAAGGCAATAGTTAGGAGAGAAACCACTGTGATGAAATCAAACAGGCATTCACAAGACCTCTTTTCCCCATAGCACATTAACCACAATAAAAATACAAGAACTGAATCAAAACACCCACAGTAATCTACAAATATTAGCATACTAATTATTATTATTTTTTAAAAAGCAGACGATAGGGTGTTTATCTATTACTAGCTGATGACCTGGCATTGCCCAGGTATTTATAGACATCAAAGCATTTGTCTGACGGGGGCCTGCCTTCTACGTACTCCCACGCCCATCATCCCTGCCCCAAATCCATCAGCCGCTTCCCCATTGGTCCACTGGAGGACGAACATCATGGCTGGCTTTCCAGAGGAAGCTGCGAAGGAACTGACACCACAAACAATTGCCACTCTAGGACACTGCGCTCGCTCCCCTTAACGGGCCAGGCGTTCCAGAGTTATGCTGGAACACACCCAGACACGCCTCCCAGTATTTGTAATGCTGGCACACACATACCTCCTTTTTTATATATTAAAATAGTGATATTAATATATAATACAATGTATAATAATGTCATATATAAATGTCATATATAAAAATGTTTTATATAATGTCATATATAAAAATAAGAATTATTATGATGTAGTATCTCCCTAATAATAATTCACCAGCATGAAAATCAATCAAATCGTTGAATTAATCCAGGTTTTAAATTTGTATAGGGGACAAGGACTTGAAAGCTAAAAATATATATATATATATATATAAATAAGTCACAAAACATAAACCAAGATTAATTAGCCTTCATCTATTTCAGTGTTTCTCAACCTTGGCAACTTGAAGATGTCTGGACTTCAAGTCCCAGAATTCCCCAGCCAGCGAATGCTGGCTGGGGAATTCTGG